ATATTGAGTTTTTCCTTGTAGATGTCGGGGTGATTCGGGGGACTTACACTCGGTTTCTGAACGGAGAATTTAAAGAACTTCTCAAACTGAACATGAACAATTTATAACAGTTTTATAAAACCAAGATTTTTGACTTGTGAAACGTAAAAAAACCTAATTGAGAATAATCAGTTGAGATTTCGTAGTTTTCCCAATTCACAAACCGGCTGTTCGTAAATAACAATTTCCAGTTCCATAAAATTTTGTACACTATTCACCAAAGCTTCATTAAAATATTATGAGTACAATAATTATTAATTACATTTCAGTCTATTTATAATTAATATTATTTGAAATATTTAAATACAAAATAATTCGATTTTTTGTTGTAGTGAACCTAACGGGGGCATTGTGAAAATTGCACAGATACATTCTGAAAAAGAAAATGTTTTTCGTAAAACACTAATTATCATATATTATTGTACCTATAGAAAACTGTTATTAACGTTTGGTTACTTTAGGTTAGAAATGTTATAAAAAAATTTCCAAGGCTTTTCTTCAGTTACACCCCAACAGATGTAAAAGTTTTGCCCAAATCTTTAATACATCTTCATTCGAATATTATATGAGAGCTTATTTGAAACTGTTAATATTATGTAACTGAATAAATTAACAACGAATAAAAATGAGTTCGCTTCCTCGACGACCTTAACCTTTTATATAACTTTGTTCAGCTAACTACAAACTATGAATAATGATTGTACATTATTTATTTAGGCTGCGTCTAAAGACAGATAAAGCGGGACGACATTTACTCAACCGCAAATGAGATAGAGAGGGAAAGAAGATGGCGTATTGCGCGAAATAGAGCGTGAAAACTATTTTTTATAAATCACTCGCAAACCATGACTATTATCTTATCTTCGGTTACAAAGTGATTCATCTAAACTAAGTTTAAAAATAAGTTAAGTTTCTAATTTTGTTTGTTTGTAGAGATCTTCGGAAATATCGATCCAATCATGGAAAATTTTTCGCCTACGGGAAGCGCGCGGGTGACAGGATTTAATTTACTCGGACTAACACACGGGAAAACAGCTAGTATAATATAAAAGAGTAAAATTACAAAGACATTAACAAAGTGGGGAATTTTAGAGGTAACTGTAATTATTTATTACAGTTACCTCTAAACTGTAATAAATGGTCAGTGGCGACAACACGCCACTGACTTCAGCAGAATACCAGTGCAACGGGTGTACCCATTGCTTACGCTGAGCTGAGGTCAGTTTTGACAGCACACAACATTACACTTTAAGTTCTTGTATGTACTAAATGTTAATTGTCCTGTTTGTTTTATACTGGGTTGTGTTGTGTGTTGGCAAAATAAATACTTTATTATTATTATTATTATTTATTATTTTTATAGGGGTACTTTCTAAATTTTATAAATTAATGTTTTGACCCTATCAATAAATACCCTTTCATTAATGATGTGGTTTTCTCCTGTTTGCTTTCAATGTCTAACGCAATATTATTGGTATACTGATATGGTAAATTTCGATTCCCGATCGGGTCAAAGCGTACTTGCCGATATTGTTTCAGATCGGCATCAAAATATTTATTTTATTTATTGTTAAATTACGTTTTGCTCTTAAAATGTATCATTTCCTAGCAAATTAAACGAAGCTATTTCTATTTGCGTACTTCGGCTTCAAGGTGTTGCCATCTCTGAGGTCCCGGTTTCCATACCCGGTCGAGTCAATGTAGAAAAAAGATTATTCTGTATTATGCCGGGTCAGGGTGTTGTGTGGTGTCTCTTTGTTGTCTCATCATCATCATCATCATCATCATCAGCCGAAAGACGTCCACTGCTGAACATAGGCCTCCCCCTTTGAACGCCACGAAGGACGACATCAGATACTCTATAATACGGGGGCTTTTGCTACTCATCCTGGCATTCGAGCAGTGTATGTGACGTTGCCTAATATCTATTTATTATTTCAATTTATTATTAATAATAACTAGCAATCATTATTTTATACTTTTGTACAATAAAAAAAAATGTAACTTTAATTTGAGTTTGTTTTGATCAAACGTTTTGACGTGGTTGCATAGACATATGAATTCAAAAAGTTAATTGGTTTATTACTTTTTACATTGCATAATTAAGGTTATAGCATGTATACCGAATTTAAAAGGTCCGAATTTAAATCCATAAATCACACAATTTTGTTCGCCCATAAAAGTGCGATCTGATACAGCCTCGCGTGGAAGGTCTTTAGCTATACTTAATCATTTTGATGTAATAGTTCTAATAATTAGACAAGGTTAGGTATCTTTTATGTTTTCGAGAAAAAGTTAAGGTTAGGTTTAGAGAAATCAAAATATGGTATTAAAACATAAATAGTTATAAATAGTTTAAAGAATATTTTATTAGCAAGATAATTCATATAAGATTTAAGTGACATATTATATTAGATATGTTACAGTAAAATTGCAGTTGTCATATCTTTATAAATTTACTACAACTATTAGTATCTAACCAAACATATATCTACTTAAGAGGCCTATTACTATACTGTTGTAGTAATGCGTTATATATATAGTTTTTATTGAAATAATAATAATAAATTTGTGCTGAAAAATTATAAAATCACTCCTTCACCATTTCAAAAGCAAAATCAGCTAAATCGGTTCAGTCCTTCTCGAGGTTTAGCAAGATAAAAAGCAACTGATTTTCATATATCTATTTTTTTTTTCATATATCTAGATGGAGTAATAATATTCTTAATGTTACTTTTTTATCCATATCTTTATGTAACTATTACTTAATTTTCATAAAATTATGAATATCTTTGTCTGCAATTCTGGGTTTAATAAAATATTTAAACATAATTTACAAAAGGCGAAGGCGATACTATGCTAATGATTTCTGCACATTCAATAACTTATAATCATAAATATACATATTTGTTTTTGAGATAAAGAGCGCTAAAATTGATCCTTTTATGCAAAAGTGCTTTTATGCAGTCGAGGTGTTATAGGACCCTTAACATTTATTTTATTTCTTTTCAATAGGCGATCGCGCCAACGATAAATTAAGTTACAAGCTTTACCTCTTTAGAATATAAGAATAGAATAAAATAAATATGAGTAACGCTATTCATTTAATTAATAGAGAATGAAGGATATCTCTTATTAGGGAGAGTGCGATTTTGTAAGACGAGAGAGGACATAAAATCATAATGTCAACTAAAGAAAGTGACGGAGTATCTCATAAACCACTCAGAATATAAAGTTTTTATTATAATTTAATATATGTTTCTAATTACCCGACCCGGCGAACTTCGCACCGTTCAGTTTGTATGAGAAAAGAAAGGTGTTTTCTCTACTCGTCTCAATATTTTCTCGTAGTTTAGATTTCCATTTCTTAACGGTAAAAACGGGACCTTATTACTACGACTCCGTCTGTCTGTCTGTCACCTAGACAGTTGAAATTTCCCAGATGATATATTTCGGTTGTCCAGGAATATTTAACGTGATTTTTTGCTTGACATTGAAAACGGCAACAGGTAGATACTTTATATATGTAAACGATGGTGCGGAGCCCTTCGTGTGCGAGTCCCAACTCGTAATTGGTCGGCTTTTTGTCTCTAGATCCCATCAGGTGAGGAGTTTATCGTGTTATTTTTTACACGAAATAAAAATTACATTATTTGAGATAAATAATGCAAAATTATTGTTTGTGTTTGGCGTATTAATTTATCTGTTACACTTTGAAAATTTCAGTTTAATTTTTGAATATGATTTTAAAAAGATACATATATCATCGGTGATCATATGACAGTAATCATTAATTTCATTCCTTCATTAAGAATTTGGTAAAATAATAAAGTATGTTTGTTATTTATAGAAAATTCTAATTACATTGTAAATAATGACGAATTTTGTTTAAAGAATGAATAACTAGAAAGAGCCTGTAGTGTTTGGCCAGTGATGGTTATAAAAACAGTGTGTAATTGATATTACGAAGGAATTTACATAAGGCTATAATGATTGTGACGATAGGATCTAATATAGAAAGGATCGTGCAGGTGCATTGCGAGCGGTAAGTACTGAAACAGATATTCAAGAACCATAATCGTAACATCGTATAAAGCTCTTTTAAAGCTTTTTTTTTATAACACGTTTTCGAATAACCAACTCTTTCTTGGTATAAATAAGTAAAATTAATCGTAGTTTGTACAGAAACTTGAACATAAAAAAATTCGGAATTTAAATGTAGGACCACCTCAGTCTGATTTAAGTTAAAGCCAGGGTATAGACAAATATATTCAATCTCTTTTGAAACTCAGCGAAGCACTCTGAATATTATTGAACTTGAATTCCGAGAGATGTGTATAAGTTGAACAAATATATTTCTTAATAATTGGAATAAATATATTTTTGAAGTAAACATCGAATGTAAAGTTAACGTAATGGTTCGATGTTATTGGTTATGCATTTACTAATCTGTTTGCAATTGCACTGATGCGTGGACGCACTTTTTACGTGAACCGACAAGTTACGAACTCGGAAGCGCTTCCCGAACGTAAAACTGTATTGTGACAGTTCAATTTTTGTCTTAATTGCTTTGACATTGGACTTCTTTTCGTTACTCGTCGTGAGGTGACATAACCTCCAACGGTGCATAAATCAGTTACGTAAAGTAAATAAACAATATAGAGATAAGTTTCTTTATTGTACGAATAATTATATATGCAAAAACTATTCTGTAATAAATAATTTTTGTAGCGCTACGCTCTACAGGGCGAATAGAATTTATGATCTTGTGCAACTTGAGACAGTTTTAAATGCCATTTAACAACAACAAGAAACAATGTTTTGAAAACTTCATAACTGTGTTTGTAGTTACGTGTACGGCATGTGAGCAAAAAATTATAAGCACTCGTACAGGCCGGTTAATTTTCTAGAAAGATTTACTGGTCTATGTTAATAATGTTTAATGTTATGCTTTTACTTACCAAGGAACTCGCAGTTGGGTGTTTATCGCTACCCCCAGGCTTCCGCTTTGAGCTAAATCACCTCAGGATTACGAGCACGCACTTGCAAACGCAAAGTTTCGGAATGTTGCTTTCAAGATTTTATACGGTGAAGATTTAAAGTGTTCGTACACTTTGAATAGGAATGGCTTTAAATTGGATCACGTAACTTGGGTTCCTTTGGTAATGTTGTAATATGAGACGTCGGTGCGGAGCGTGCGCGACTCGGGAAAGTACAGAGCGGACTGCGCTTGATTGTTGCTCGTGCGCAGCCAGACCGGCCGCAGACACCGCATCACTTTCATTACACCTAATAGCAGTCTCTACATAAGCATTCTTGTTGTAGCTTTTATTGATTTAGCGATTGTACAGATTTCGATTTGATCTCTATTTGTTTTCTGCTCGTTTTCTTTCGGTCGTATTTCTTTGGGCATTTTGCTGATGATAACATTCAAAAACAAATATTTATTGGATTTAAAATTAAAAATTGTATTTCCAATAGGTTAGTTGACAATTTTTATTTTATTTTATAAATAAATAGTCCATGAATATCTCAGAAATAATAGCATGTCTACAATTAATAGTTTCGGAGAAATGGCGTTATGCTTGTGGAACTGCTACAAGCTGAAAACATTCCCTACAAATTCATTCTACTAGTAAAACGCTCTTATAAGCTGTCACATAACGTCATGGGCTGAATATTCGGTCTCTTAAACTCAGAAGTCCTTTCAGAACCTAAGCGTTGGTGAAATGCAATAACGTAGTTAGGCGTTACCTAACCAGGTTTAGGGGTCCCCTCATTTAGGGGACGTTGGTGTACTCGGTCATAAATGACGTTACTCAATGCTATGGTAGCGAAAAACGTATGGGCGTCTGGGCAATCTTTGTTATTTGTGCTTTAATATTTATAGCTGTTATAATAAACGTTTTATGTAACTTTAATGCCATATGTATTTTAGCAAATTTTTGTAATACGTTTCCCTACTTTTTCAAGTTTTCAAAGTATAATATTTTCCAAATCGCTGCCATAAAATTTATTTTGAGAAAGTTTATGAGTTAAAATGGTTCATATTTTAACATATAACAGAAACCTGTATTTTCGCTTGTAGGAAACCAATAAGTTTAAGATTAATAATACGTCAAGAAAAGTTTTTACTCATTTTTTTATGCATAATAAAGACATCAAGGCACAACTGAAGGCAATTTGACCTGTCTGAATATGTTTGTCCGCGTATTTCTCGTAAATTAGACATCGGATTACAATAATTATTCGTTTTTTGTAAGGTAACAAACAATAGTTAGTTTTTAACCTAAGCACCAACACAAGTTTTATTAAAATCGTTTCAGTGGTTTTGAAGATATACACTATAAAAATTTTAAAGACTTTTATATCGGAGCAAATAAAAATATGATAAAAAAAGAAAAGTGACACAAAAAGCTTATCTAATAAAAGTGAGAAATATATTAAGAATTTGTAAAAAAATCGATTGCAAACTTGTTTATTATATTTTAACACACTTCACTAATTACTATCTTATTACACTACTTTAATATATGTACACTAGACCGCAAAGAAAACGGGTCGGTTAGAAAATCGTCAATATCTTGAAAACTACTTAACTTATTTTTATGAAATAAAAACTAAATTAAAGATTATTTAATTGTAATTTATTGAATATAAAAAAATACAAATTAAAAGTTGTCTATTTTCAATAAATGTCAAACGAATGAAAAAGGTAGTTTTTCTGACATTTTCGTAAATATGAATTGTATAAAGATGTGACGTTTTTACGCATGTTAGTATTTCGTGTTGCCTCCACGAGCTTGCAAAACTGCGGCTATGCGATTCGGCATACCTTCCACAAGGTTTTTAAGGCGATGCTGCGGAATGTTCTGCCATTCCTCGATCAAAGCTCCTTTCAATTCACGCAGCGTGATTGGCGGCGGATTCCGTTGACGTACACGTCGTCCCAGTTCGTCCCATGCATGTTCGATGGGGTTTAAGTCGGGGCTTCGTGCTGGCCACTCCATGCATGTGATACCTACTTCGTGAAAATAGTCGAACACTATCTGAGCTGTATGCGGGCGGGCGTTGTCTTGCATAAAAACAGCATTTTCGCCCATATCTACTAAAAATGGACCAACATAGTCATTAAGAATTTCATTCACATATCGTTCTGCTGTTAAACTGCCATTTTCTATCACTACTAGCTCAGTACGGCTTTCGGAAGAAATCCCAGCCCACACGTGTATAGAGCCACCGCCATATGGTACTTTTTCTTCTATACAAGCTTGGTTATAGCGCTCTCCCGGTCTTCGGTACACTCTTTTCCTCCCATCGTGCTTGTATAAACAGAATCTAGACTCGTCTGAAAACATAACTCTTGACCAGTCATCCAGAGTCCAAGTTTCGTGTTCTCTGCTATAACTCAGCCTTGAGTTTAAGTGGTGTCTTTCTAATTTTGGGCCATTTGCAGGCCTTAATGGTCTCAAATTTGCTTCAGCCAGACGTCGCCTTACTGTATCTGTACTCAGATAGTTTCCTCCAGCTCGTAAATGGTGATTTTTTACCTCAACGGCCGTAAGAAATCGATTTCTCAAAATTGTTGACACCATATAGCGATCCTCCCGCGCAGTCGTGCACCTCGTTCGGCCTGTTCCTGGTCTTCTTAGGTTGGATCCAGTTTCATGGAAACGCTGGAGTACCCGCTGAACTGTGGAAAGACTCACACCAACAGTTCTCGCTGTATTGCGCTGACTGCGCCCATCTTCAAGCATTGTCAGGATCCTGGTGCATTCTTCAGGGGTTAACGACATGATGACTTCAGAATACAATTTTTGTATGACAAACACACGATATTTATTGTAGTTTTTATGTCAAAACTAAAACAAATGCGAAACAAATGCTTTGATTTTTTTAGAACTAAATTGAAAAACAACCATTATCTTCATTGCCAGTTTTCTTACACAATTATCTAAAGTAAATAAAAAGGTTTTATATACTATGTTAAATAACATTAAATATTCTTTAATTGAGTTTTTATTTCATAAAGCTAGGTGAGGTAGTTTTCAAGTTATTGAAGATTTTCTAACCGACCCGTTTTCTTTGCGGTCCAGTGTAGTTGGAATTCGAAGTTTTATCGCGACAGTGGGTTAACGAATCATCGCTCGATAATGCAGCCTAATCATTTTGACGGAGGAATGAGCGGACAGATAAACGACGAGACTGATCCTAAAAGTGTTCAGCTTTCTGCTTTTGAGGTAAAAAATATGAAGTTGAACCCTTTAACTCGACTTTTAATGCCACATATGTATTTCTATATTTCCTCGGGTGTTTCGATTCAGATACCTTCGTTGTTCCAGATACTCCATAATACGAGGCCTTTATAGCTACCTATTTTAGGAATCTGAGCAATATATGTATTGTTCTTTTTTATTATCTTATTCGAAACCTGAAAATATAAATGACACTATTCTAAATATATCGGTCGAATTAAAAGGGCTCTTTGAATCAACTTGTATACCTAGTCAACATAATTTACCAAGTTATAAAACTTATTATAATTTCAAGAACCAAGATAAAAATGTATCGACATTAGTCGAGTTAGAGCTTCGATCTGTCAAATCTAATGAAGGTAACTTTTGTTGGTAACCCTGCCCTTCTTTTACTGTCGGTTTAACAAATAGCTCACTACGAAATCTTAAAAGGGTTTTTAAATAGATGTTTTATTGCATTTATATTGACATATACTTTAAGACAATTTTGTAGTCCGTCCCCATTAATAAAATTATGAATCTAAAACCTACCTTTTAGGTTCATAATAGAAGAAGTGTACCGCTTCTCAGGTAATAGCTGTGTTGATTATAAAAATGTAATGTGAACTCGTAATGTCACTATGAGCCTGAATTAGTAACTAAATATTTCTTGTTACTTCTTAGCTATGCTAGAAATAATTTTAGCATTATCCCGTTTCATTTGTGATGTAATTCCAAACCTGAAGTTAAATGTAACCATAGATTGGAAAAATAACTAGGAGATTGTTCCATTGCATTTTTATTTAGACCAAATTTAAGAAATGGATATCTGTACTGAGATATTATATAACACCGCATGTTTCCTCACCTTACTCAGCCAGGTCTGCACGCAATATCCAATAATAATCTGTTTGTTGCAATAATCTGACAATGGCGCCAACGCCAAGACATGTCGCGATTACAAAATGTATAAATGAAGACATTCTCTTTCTAATACTAGTTGCACTTGTCAAAAATGCAATTGCTTAGGATATGTTGTAAATTAATAAGAAACTAGCGCAGTGGCATAATAATTTGGGTTAATTTGCGTAATCTCCCAGAGGGCTTTTGGGTATAATGGGAATTATGTTACTGCATACTCTGCTAACCCTAACACAGGTCCACGGGTTTATCTGGGACTCTCCCGCCGCACCTGCTCCCAAAAGAGCGGTAGTCAAAGGCTGAAAGCTTACACTAAGATCGATCGATATCCCCCTTTACGTAAGAGATGCACGAGGACGGTCCCAAGGTGACCATTCGCCCCCATTTCGTACCTTCCTATGCAGGTGTTTCCCGCAACCGGTTGGAGACAAGACTAAGGATTATTTGCGTCTTACTCCCCAAATAGGATAGAGGGCGTGCAATGCACAGTAGGCGCGCAAATAGATTATGTCCCGTCAAAAGTAGGAGAGGAGCGATGGTGTTATCCAACCTAACCAGTCGCATTACAGGAATTCGCCTTGAGATCTTTTGATTTGTTTTATTAACTTTTATTTACAAAACGTTAACCCTTCGTTACCCTCAATCATGTCTCGTACAGTTTAGTGGTAAGCGTATTGTTTTCGTTAGGTGAATCTATATATTCAATTAATCCTTATTTACAACACATTTATCTTTAAAACATTTCATGACCCACAATCTCTTAGTTTAGTAGGAAGCGTAGTTAAGCATTCGTAGATGATTGTGCAATAATTGTATGTACAATGTACATAAAACTAATTAAACTGTTTGTCACATACAGCATGAATGTTTGAAACTGTTCCTTCCTAATTGGAGGTACATGTTGATTTGTCGGTAGTGCGTAGCCGCTTCCTAATGGTCTTATGAAAATTTTTGTCTTTTGGAAATAAATTATTTCGTTAACTTTTACATCAAAATATCCATCAATGCTACTCTGATAAAAACAGCTTCTGGCCTTGAACTCAGCGTTGTCAGGTCATTGGGCTTCAGTGAAC